GGTGGGGGTGGAGAGGAGGGAGACCGAACTGCCTCCAGGAGAAGCGCTTCATTTTCCTTGAGTCTGCTTCCCGAGGAACCACAAGGAAACCGTTTCAACCGCGCTTCTCCGTGTGTGGGAGCAAACCCTCATCCGAATTTGGAAGTTCATATTAGCGCTATTCAGCAGACCTTCCCTCCCTTCCCCCTCCCCCCCCCCCCCAGCGCCCCACTCTCTGGAAACCCGCGGCGTTGCCTTCTGCGAATCGAAGGCGGGGGAACTTTTGCGGCCGCTTGCAGACCTTCGCCTCGCCTTCCCTGTACTTTACGCGGAACCTGTGCATATCTATGTGTCTCTCCGTGTGTGCGTGTAAGTGTGTGTGTGTGTGTGTGTGTGTTATACAAACACACACATACACATACACACATATACAGAAAGAGAGAGAAAGACACCGATACAGACACGCACACACATTTTCCCCCTTCTCCGTCCACCACCCTGGTACTTCTGACTGTATATTTCTTGGGCTGGCCGTCGCTCTCATCAAAATAGAGGAAAACTGCCAGTGGCGCGTTAAGTCTTCGTAAAAGAAACCAGACGCAACCGCGCCTCTCCTCTCCCCCTACCCCACCCCCGGCCGATCGGCGGCGAGATTATTCTGTATAATCGACTCTCTGTCTGGGCCGGATTTGGCTACTTTCGGCTCAGATGGAGGGAAACGCTTTTTTTTTTCCACTTGTGGTGGGGGCTTTGAACTCTGCAGACCTCAGAAGTTCTGATCTCCGGTCAGGGTTGAATTCATGAAGCTCCCAGTCAAACGGGGAGAGGGAGAAAGAGGGCGAGGTGGGGAGGAAGCAGGATCTGGAATTGAGAATGCTGCAAACTTTGTTGATGCCGTGTACTCAAAAGGCTGCTTTAAGACGACATCTTAAACGACCACCTCTTCTTCCAGCCCCATGCGGACACGCACATCCCTGCCCCTAGCTTCCTGCGCTCTTCCTTCACTAAAACGCTCAGCCAAATAAACACCATCCCTGGAGATCTCTCTTTCGGCAGAGGAGACGCTGCTTAAATGTGCTCTCTCCCCCGCCGGCATGCAATTGGCCCGTCGGTTTCCACCACCCTCCCGATCTTCCAGGGTCCCTGCAGGCCAAACGCTTCGCGTTTGCCTGTAAACTTGGCTAGAGCCAAGTCCGGGTCAGCGGGAGAACTGCTGGCCCATCCGCCAGATTCGGGGGAGGGGGAGGGGGCGTGGTGCCTAGTGTTCATCTCCTCCTCCTCCTCTGCTTCCTAAGCCTGTTTTTTCCTCCCCTTCCCTGCACCCCGACTGTTTAGAAAAAGAGGTGGCTGAGCCAGAGGTGCGGATGGTGAACGGCAAGCCAAAGAAAGTGCGAAAGCCAAGGACTATTTACTCCAGTTTTCAACTGGCGGCGTTACAACGGAGGTTCCAGAAAACCCAGTACTTGGCTCTGCCCGAGAGAGCCGAGCTGGCCGCCTCTTTAGGCCTGACGCAGACTCAGGTAAGGACCGGCGGCCGGCCCTGGGCCTCCCTCTTCCCTCGCGGCGGGCGAAACGCCCCCAGGAACCCCGAATTTGGAGTGGTCCTCGTTTCGTTGCGGTGCTGCTGAGGAGCTCGTGGGGTGCTTCTGTAGGCCGGAGGGCACGAGAGAAGGCAGGGGAGGGAGTGCGAGCGCGCGGACGTGTGTGGGGTGTTCGTTCGTTTCATCTTCCCCCGCCCCCGCCCGAGCATTTCTCCTGCGAGATTGCTGGTGAATCCAGCTTCCGCGCCAAATGGGCGCCTGATTCCACCGTCGGCGGCATCAGCTACATCTCTCCGGGGGCGGGGAAGAGGATCTCAGGGCGAATTCAGAAAACTCTGCCTCGCCGAGTGGAAATTAATCGGGCTTCACTTCGTGCGCAGGGCGCTCCGATTCGATCTCCAGGTGCTTTGTTTACACCCCGCCGCATTCGAGGGGTGTGCTGTTCAAAAGCCCCCGAGCTTTTCGGCCTTCTCGGACAAAAGAGGGGAGGGGTAAAGTGGGAGGATCTTCTGCCTGATCAGCTCAAGGGAGGTGGGGGACGGCTTGTCAGAGAGCTACGGCGGACCGTGGAGGTTTGGATCACAAAACGGGTTATACGTGCATCAGGTGTCAGCTCCGTTTTGTTAGGAACGGTGTTCACCAGGCGCCCCCTTTTCGTTTATTTTTTTCCCCCTTTCTGTTTTCCTCCCCTACCCTCCATGTTTTCAAAACTATTTGGGGCAACTGCTCAAGGGTTTAAAAGTCAGCCCCATGTCCAGAGACGCGGGAAAAGGAACGACACTCTATATTGTATCACATTTTTAATGTTATCATCCCTTTAAGGCGATTCGTTTTTCTTTTACATTTCACATTTTCCGTGTTTGTATTTGGAATAAAGTGTGTTTACTGACATTCTCGCCTCTGATGCTTTGGCCCAATGCGGTGGCTGTTTTCGCCTGACCAGGGTCTCGATTCTGCCCAACAGAGACAGGTTCGAGCAGGAAGAGAGGTTGAAGCCTTAGCCCCGCTGGGAAGGATAATTGGCCTTCGGCGTTCTTAAAAGAGGCCTTTCGTGCGGTACCTGTGTTAGGATCACTCGCAATTGGCCTTGAAAGCTACTTGACTTAAGCCCACTCACGGCACTCTTCATACCCGCAAAATCTCTTTGCTGACGTTCGTGCAAATCTGTGTGGAATTGTTCCCCGACTAGCCCCCACATTCCTACTCATTTCCACTTTCTCGGAAATAAGCGCATTGCCAGTGGCCGGGCAAAGCTCAGGCCACTTGGAGCCGAGGTTGAGATCCTAAGCCGGCTGGATAGAGAGGGCGGCTGGCCATCTTCTGCAGGCGTCCTTGGGCGGCGTCCCACCAGTTAAGTCCCGGTCGGGGGAGGAGGCTTCCCGGGGAAAGGTCCGCCTGCCTGGTGCTTCCTTTGCATTTGTGCTAGTACGTTCGGATCAATCCCACCCCTCCTCCCTGACTTCTGACGCCTCTTTTTCTTCCTCAAGGTGAAAATCTGGTTCCAGAACAAAAGGTCCAAGATCAAGAAGATTATGAAAAATGGAGAGATGCCCCCGGAACACAGTCCCAGTGCCAGCGACCCGATGGCTTGTAACTCTCCACAGTCCCCCGCCGTGTGGGAACCGCAGGGCACGGCCAGATCTCTCAGCCACCATCCTCATGCTCACGGGACAACCTCCAACCCATCGCCCGCATCCACTTACCTGGAGAACTCCTCTTCCTGGTATTCCGGCGCAAACGCTCTGAACGGCCACCTGCAGTCTCACGGCTCCCTCCAGCACTCCTTAGTGTTGGCTTCCGGGACAATCTACTAGAACAGGCGATCCTTTTTTAAACCTTCGTTCCTTCCTCTCTTGTTTTGGACTTGATTGCTTTTGTTCATGAAGGGAAATAATAATAATAATTAATAATAATAATAATAATTAATAATATGGGGGACTCTTCTCTTTAAGGAAACTATAACAGGATGAAATGTGTAAAGCTTGTGCATGTAATTTATTGCATTTCAAAGGAAACTTCCCCCCCATGCTTTCCTTACGTTGTCTTTTATTTCTGAAGACGGACTTTGGATTTGCGTTTGTTCTCATCAGCCTGGACACTTTCAAAGGTGCCTTGAAATCTTATGACCTCAACTTTTTTCAAGAGACTTTTTTTCAATGTCATTTTAACCCTGTACATACGTGTAGATAGAGGAATTAAACTGTATATTCTGAATAAATAAAATTATTTCCACCGTGAAGACAAAAACAGGAGAGAGAGAGAGAGATATAAAAGGACAGGTTACCAATTTTTCCCCCTTTCACTTATCGAAATGAAGTAGAGGAGGGTCCTGACTCTTAATAACTGCTCACTCCTTCCTTCCTTCCTTCCTTCCTTCCTTCCTTCCTTCCTTCCTTCCTTCCTTCCTTCCCTCTTTTTCTCCTTTGTGATCCATCCTTTGTTTCGAGTGCAGCCCCCAAGGCCAGGCCAGTTATTCAGAAGCAGCCCTTATTTCTTCCTAAGCCTAAATTCGGAGCAGTCCTGTCTCGTCCAGGTTCCTTTTGGGGTGAGACCCGATTCTCCCGCCCGCCGTAGGGAGGCTCCGAGACTCCGAAAACCTGGGATCTCTACCGGGGTCTTCGAACCTGCCAGAACGTCTCGTAGGTTTGGAGGTGGGGGACTAAAGCAGTGACCTCAGTCTGCTCTGCCGAACGAGAGCAGCAAAGGCGAAACGGTTCCCAGGGAAAAACGGCCTGAAAAAGACGAGAGGGAGGGTTGCAGTTGGTGGAGTCTGTCCCTGAGTAAGAACGCGGTATTTTCACCTGGGTTTCTGCTTCCTCGTGTTCTCTTGAATTTTCGGGAAGAAGCCAGAAATAGTAGGCGGGCACCGCAACACGGTGCATTTCCTTCCAAAGGAGCTCCGAAACTGGGCAGTGGCCGACCGAGGCGAGGGCACGGACCCTCTGCGCCTCCGGGCTGGAAACAAAGGCGATCTGCGAACGAGGCCGGCTTTGAACGTGTCTTCGTCCCCTTTGCCTCCCCTTCTCCGCGCCACCAGTTCCGAAATTAAATCCTGAACAAACCCCAGAAGGCGATCGGATTCTGGGCAGGTAGCTGGCGAGGGAGGGGTGTGTGTCCCGCCTTTTGCACCTCCCAAGCCAAGCGTGGCCACGGCGGGGCAAGTGAACGGCAGAGGGGTCGAGGTAGGCGCCTGGCGCGGTTTCTTCTTGCTTTGTGCATCACCCCCCCCCCTTTTGCGTCTCCCTATCCAGCACCCACCTCCATAACAAGGCATCCTTTCGAAATCTCTCTCATCCATGCGGCAGGGGGTAAGCTTTAGATAGCAGCGGGCAGCTTGAGCTTAGGAGTTGTTTTTATTTTGGAAAGAAAATTAGAACATTAAGAAACCTTGTAAAAATTACATCCTGTCATCCGAGGAGTTCAGCAAGAGATGTTCCAGGACTTGGAGACAAAACCTCAGAAAGGTTTTGCTTTCCTGGTGCCCGTGTGCCTGGGGGCATGACACAAAAGGGCGGGTGTCCCCTCTTTTAATCCTGATCCCCTTCCACAAAACATTGTTCAGGTGCTCATCCTGGCAGTCTTTTTACAGCTCACCCCACCCCACCCCCATTCTTTGCCCTCAGACAATGCTGCACTGTTGACTCTGCTGAGGGCCAAGGCAGCGAGCGATGCCGAGGGGCAGATAGGAGCTGTAGCCCCGCGGATGTTGGGGATGATGGGAATTGTGCTCCACTGCCATCTGGAGGTGATTCAACCTATCTTCTACAGCTTTAGATTGGTTAAGCATCAGGGGTTGTGCATGTTACTAAAACCACTCGATTTTGGCCTATCGCTTGCCATCAAGGTGACCTTTGGCTTTGGAAGGGCTTGCACCTCTTCCTTCCTTCCTTCCTTCCTTCCTTCCTTCCTTCCTTCCTTCCTTCCTTCCTTCCTTCCTTCCTTCCTTCCTTCCTTCCTTCTGGTAGAAAAATCCTGTTAGAAGTATATTCTCCTCTGGCTGTCTTTGCTCAATAGATCTTTTTAGGTTGTGAGATAATCTTGGGGATGCAGGGGTGTTTATAAACATGTGCATAGCGGTGTACCGTTTTGATAGCTTAAGACGATTCCCCCACCCGCCCCCTTGTGCGTATCTGAGTCGGCCTGGGCCCTCTTTCCTTTGAGGTTTGCTCCGCTTTTGTCCGGCGTTGTTTTAGTGCCCGAGGCTAAGGAGCGGCTCCTGCAGAGGGACCTCTTGCCCTTTATTGTCGGCCGTCCCAGCTTCATCGCCTCTTTCCCCGGGATTTTATTTTCGCCCCGCCTTCCCCCCTCTCCTTGGAAAAAGGCGCTAGCCCTTAGGATCTCTCTCTGTTCTTTGGGACGGGAGCGAGGGCCTCGTCCTTCCTAACGGCCCAGCCTTCGTCCCGGCACCCGCATGTGTGCGCGTGGGCAGTTATGGCTGGAGAAGAGCGCTCCCTCCAGGGGCCGCGAGGGAGACCAGACTTTGGCCGGGGGG